CCGGCAATGCATGACCACAAGTCCAATCACATGTCCGAGTGGAGGACCGGCTAAGTGGGACGCATAAGGCTGGTGTTGGCGCATGCGTAAGTTGCCACATGTAGATCACATATCATCGCCGGGAGGTAACAGAGCAAAGGCCTATTGGAGCAGAGACCTCCTCAATGTCGCCTTCATTCACCAGTGCATAGCTTTAGCCCAACCATTAGTTTTGTCGCAACGAGGAGACGAAGGAAGGACCGGCGGCTAGGAACCAAATATTCATGGACCCTAATAGCTGGCGAACGTTCGCTGTGATGCCTGACATTTTCTTCAGAAACTGCCAACATTTGATCTCGGATCCAACAAAAATTGTGTGGAAAATTGCGTTTGTTTGCTATCCCAAACGGTCGTCAGTTAGTCTTGCCCAACATTCATAACTTACAACTATGGCAGCATTATCAAGAATGGAATATTCTTGGCGTTACGCCTAGGCTAGGCATCCCCTCCCTTAGCTACGTCGGTGCGTTCCCGTGCAACGGTGTCACGCCTCTTCACACCAGGCCACCCGCCAACATGTGAGGCCAGACGCGCACCGGGCTCATGTTCCAGCCAGCGCGGCCCCTTAATACGATCAATGTTGGTGCGGTGCTTCCAATCTAATCTTAATCTAATGTAAACCTTCTGTTACAACCCTCCTGCAGCAGTTTATACTCCCTCCCAATCTCTCTGCAGTTTGAAGGTATAAGACCCTCCGCCCCCCACGACAGCTGCCCAGCAACGCATGACCATGAGGCCACTTGCACGTCTGAGCGGCGGACGACCTAAGTGGGACCCATAAGGCTGTTGTCGATGCCTGCGTACTTGCAGACGAAATCGTAGACACACCGATTCCTCTTCATTGGAGACCGCCAGCCCAGCCAAAAACCTCCCGCCGCCACTGCACAGCCGCGCCCTCTTCCTCCAGTCACCACGCGCGCATGTCACATCTCATCGCTGTCAGGCACGAGAGCGAGGGCCTATCAGAGCAGAGACCTCCTCGCCGCCACCTTCATTGACGACCATGCATGGGCTCAGCCCGGCCATTAGTCTCTCGCAACGAGGACAAGGTGGCGAAGGAAGGGCCAGCGGCCAGGGCCCTAAACAGCCGGCGAACGTTCGCTGTGAGGGGTGTCATTTGGGGACGTTTTTTTTGGTGGGCAGTTTCTTGGGAGATGCATGGCATGCCACCACATTCATAACCTACAACAGGATGTAGCACATTATGAAGAAATGGAATATTCTTGGCGTTACGCCTAGGGTAGGCACTCCCTTGGGAGTCTATGCCGGTGCGTTCCCTCCCGTGCGACGGCGTCACGCCTCTTCGCACCTGTCCAACCGCTGACACGTGGGGCCAGACCCGCGTTCCAGCCAGCGCGGTGCTTCTAATCTAGCCTCAATCCTAATGGGAACCTTCCATTTACGAATTAAAAATCCCCATTACGTTCTTAGCAGTTTCCACTCCCTCCCAATCTCTCGCCAGCGTGACTGCTTTTAATCCTCTTTGCAGTTTGCTTTTGTGCCTCTCCCATCCCCTCCTCCAACCCCACAACCAAACCAAACCAAACGCACGACGCCCACCTGTCTCCTCCCGCACGCACGCCTCGAACCTTCCCCAGGCCAAGCGGCGGGGGTTCCGCGAACCGCGGAGGAGGAGGTGGGATGGGCGAGTACTGCGCCCCGGCGGCGGCGGCGGCGGTGGAGGGGGAGCGGCCGGTCGCGGTGTCCGTGCTGCCGCTGCCCTCGGTGGTGGCGGCGGGCAGGTACCTGTACGGCGACTACGACCGCTGCTCCACCAAGCAGGTCTTCGACAACCTCCACGGCAACATCTCCCTCGACCCCGTGCGTGAGCGATTCCATTGCTTCCCCTTATCCTCTCCTCCGCTCTCCTTCCTCCTGCTTGCTTTGTTCCCTTGCGGCGGCTGTCTGTGTTATCGTGGGATTGGTTGATTGGGTGCGGCTTCGGTCCGTCGGTCTCGGGTTCGTTGGTTGGTTGGCGATTCGATTCGATTCGATTCGTTTCGGGCCTTCATCGCTCCTCCGCGCCCGCGCCGCATTGCTTCCCCACCCCCAATCTCCGCTCCGCTCGCGCGCGGTCCCAGTTTTTT